AGTAATACTCTAAGTGTCCTATGGGATTGAGCCTGAAAAATGAACCATGCTTAGCTACAAACGTACATGTTAGAACAACAAATGGCTGCTATGCATCTTAAAGTCGCCTGTATACATGTTTAAAATAATATGATTTTAAGGACACTGGTGGCACATGCTTTTAATCCCAACACTTAAGAGGCAGAGGCAGGTGAATCTCTGTGAGTTTGAGGCCAAGATGGTCTACAGAGATAGTTTCAGGACAGCCAGAACTGGTACACAGAGAAACCCTGTCTCAAACAAACAAACAATCAAAAAACTAGAATTAGAATAAAGAAGACTTGTACCTCTTTCCACTTAAAATTCTGCTGTGTATACTACCATTACATAAAACTGCAGATTCATAATACAGTATGAGAAATGATAAAATAAATGTTATGTATTCTACACAACAATCCAACACAGGTGATAGTATTCCCATTCGAAAGATGCCAAAGTGAAAGTAATTTGTTCAAGATCACATGATTTCCTGTCAACCCAAGTCTAAGATTAAAGTCTAAAGTCAACCCCCTTCATCCTACCTGTGAACACTGTTTGCATGGCATAGGCTAAAGATTTAGACCCAACATAAAAGATGCCAGTAGGTTGGTAGTTAACTCTTGCACAGACCCTTGCTTTCCTCATGTCTCGTTTCCTTAACCTATCAATAGAATGGTGTTAGATTACACAACATTGGTTCCATTTAACTTATAGCTGTGCAGTGGTATGTGCTCAGAGCCCCAAATTTCATGTAATGTTTTTATTTCCAACAAAAGTGAATCATAAGTAAATGGAATTTACTATTCATTTCCCTCGATGGTCGTTTCATAGTAAATGTATTACAAATGTGGGGGAAACATCTCTCAGATCAGCTTAATTCCGGGCCTGAGAAATCCAGGCTTTGTTACAGAAATGAATTCATTATCTATGGGACTGCATATTTCTAAAAAGCTTTCTGTGAGGTTTTGTGTTGTCCCTATCAATTGAAAAAAAGGAAACATTTTTTTTCTCAACTCATTCAGTCTTCATACTTCCAGTCCATCTGTTGCCATAGCACTGATTGTCATGTCAAAATTGCCATTAGTAACACTTAGAGGTAATCAGGCAAAAGGCCAATGGAGGCTGTGCCCAGGCCTCAGTAACCCATGACTACTAGACTAATTGAGCAATAGGAAGCTTAATTTCAAGAGACCTGGTTTCAGGCTGTAGTTTTGCCTCTTACTGTGTATGCATATGCGTGGGTCATTCCTTGAGTAGAATGATCATTTTCAAGCTTGACTTTTTTTTTTTTTTAATTCAAGTGGCACGTGTAAAGCTATTGCCTGTGATAGTTAGACAAACTAACATCTCTGTGCCTAATTTCAATTTGCTATTAATTGAGACTACCTACTCAAAGACACCTCTAATACATGGCCACCAAACTCATTCTGTTGCTTTTAGTAGGAAAGATGGAGGTGAACATTAAAGAAGAAGAATCTTAATGTGGTGGGCTGGGAAGTGGAAAAAGAAGCATCATGAACAGAGGGGGCAGTATGGGCAGAAGCCAGGGGCAGAAAAGCACAGACTGCGAATGATAAAAATGAAGGGTACAGGTCGGCCAGAGAAAAGTACACAAACTGTACTATTTTCATAGTAAAGATGAAGCCACATTAGAGGATGTTAAATGTAGGAAGACCAGATGCCACACTTGGATGGAAAAGATTGAAAGGGTAGCTCAGGCAGAAAGTTAATATGATGAGATGGGTGTTCCTGAGCCTATGCTATTAGTCTGTCTTCATTTTCAAGAGGAAAACAGAGGTCTGCTGACTTTACTATCATGACTATTTTTGTGACTTTAATTTTCAGAAATGTTATGACCTATCCTTTCACACAATCACTAGCCATCTTAGCTTGCTTCTAGGCCATAAAAAACACAAAGTCTCAATTTTATGCCTTGGGCAATTGCAGCTGCTGCCTGAAGGAATCGCTTCATGTCTATTTATCTACACTAGATTGTGAACCAATTCTCAATACCACTTCTACCAGGAAGCCTTCTTTAGGAATCTAGATCTTTCTAGATTGCTTTATTCCATTTATAGATACTTCATCATGTATCCAATTCTTAAAGGTAGTATCCTGGAAGAATTATTAGTGACCTAGGAATAAAATAAAGGCCTGGTAGCAGCCCTTTGCCACTTGGACTGCGTTATTTAATGCCACTTGTTTCTTTCCAAGTTAAATTGTTTGTTAATTCTCAAACTCTAAAGACACTTTAAATCATCCATTTAACAAATGAAATAATGGGAACCCTAGGGGCTGAGGATACACAGATGAAAACAAAACACTTTATCTATACATGACAACATATCGTGTGTGTGTGTGTGTGTGTGTGTGTGTGTGTGTGTGTGTGTGTGCTTGTGTGTTATGACTGTTTCCTTGTAGTGGAATAGCTCTCCAACTATGGCTTGCATTAAAATTACCTTTAGCAATCAGCAAAACACATTTTTGTGTTTCTGAGATGAGAGATATGGAAAATTTTCCTTTTTTCTTTTATTTGCTGGTGGGTCTGATGCAATAGTACACAAATGTCATGCAGAGAAATTGTTCTAACAGGTATGTTTTCACACAGCTGTACTGACAGTGCCTAGAAAGATATTTATGGAATGAGAAATATGAGGCAGATGGTCAATGGGTAAAGAGGCCTACATATTTCCTTGAGTTATTTTACAGATGCAAATCACAATTCCACTAAAAGGTAAAAGAATTACTATCAATAGAAAGATCCAGATAAGAAATTGCTTGCATCCAAGGGGAAAGGAATTACTTTTAACCTACAGGAAGAGAGAGGGACTAGGGAAATTTTTGTGGAGTGCTTGATTATTCCTTGAGAGACCAAGACAAATAAAAGTGTCATTGGGCCTAGAGCTGGGATTATAATTTAGTGGTAGGCTTGAGGTCCTCAAGTCAATTCTCAGCATGGATGGTAAAAGGAGCCTGAAACTATTCACAATATCTTAAGAATATGTCTAGAATTTATCTACTTATCTATACTGAATACTTTAAAATTTTTAATGTTTTTTAAGGGTCTCACTGTGTGGTCATGATTACCCTGGAGCTAGTTAGACCAGGCTGTCCAATAAGTGTCTCAAGTGCAGGGATTAAAGGTGTGAGCCAACATGCCCAGTTTATGGTGTCTTTCCTTTAATATTTTCATACCATTTATAGACTCATAAATATTATGGTTTCTACAATTTTATGTAAAGTTTAATTCCTGTAAAGAGCTAAAGTCCAATTTTGGGTGGGAGGTCTTACATGTATCCCAGGTTAGCCTGTAACTCAATATATAGCCCAAGCTATCCTGTCTTAGTCTCTCAAGTATTGGTAATTCTAGACTTGTGTGAACACCCTGCTGTAAATATCACATTTTCACTCAAAATCTGTTAGAGATTTGGGTGATTTTGTGGGTCAGTCCTGTTTGTTGAAAAATGCCTATGTTTTTAGCTAAGGCATTTATTTTCAAGTATGACTGATAGATGGATGCCCAGAACAATTTCAGAATGAGCTTAAAAACCATTTCTACAGTGGGCTAAGCTGATAGTCTTTAACAGTGATAAGTGTGAAGGATAATCCCATAGGCCTCAGATGTTTTGCTTGCTTGATGTCTTTTTCTTTGGAAATCAGTCAGGTAAGAACTAGACTTGTGCTGCTTGCCTCTAATCCCAGCATAACGGGCACACAGGACTGCAAATTTGAGGATCACTTGAATACAATGAATTCCCAGCCAATCTGGGCTGAAGAGGAGCCTGATGTTAAGACAGCAAAACTAATGTTAGTACACCTGATACCTTGATTGATTGACTAAATTGACAACCAAATATAATGCTGTGAGCAAGTGGTGGTCCACACCTTTAATCCCAGCACTGGGAGGCAGAGGCAGGCCTTTCTCACAGGATCTCTGTGAGTTCGAGGCCAACCTGGTCTACAGAGAGAGTTCCAGGACAGCCAAGGCTACACCGGGAAACCGTGTCTCAAAAATCAAAGGGGTTGGGGGGTTAACAACAAGATCAGTGGTAGAGCATGTCTTTAATCCCAGCACTCTCCAGGAGGTAAAAGCAAGTAGGAGGATTTCTATGAGTTTGAGGCCAGCCTGATCTACATAATGAAGTCCAGGATACCCAGGACTATATAGACGCCATGTCACAGAGATCTTGACTCAAAATAAAATAAAAACTGAATAATTTAAAACTCACAAGTACCTACATGTGTACAATAAAAGTTAAAGAAATTCGATTAAATCTATACTCTCGGCCATGCTTTTCAATTAATTCCAATTTAGCATTAAAGTCGACTAATATAAGATAGAGGAATGACCAACCCAACTGCCTGTGCACACAGAGAAAAACATAAAAGTATCCTGCATTTATTAACAATAGGGAGGGGTGGGGGGGAGGGGCTGCAGCTGACAGACGTTTTCGTTTGTCTTTCTGGGCATTGATTTTCTTTTAATGATTTTTAGGGAGGTGTTTTTTTTTTTTAATTTTAAGGCACAGATATCAATATTTTACCTCATAGTCTGGAACAAAATTGTAAATGTTTCAAATATTCTACAGTAAACGGAAGCATACATGGGTCAGGAATTAAAACATTATGCCTTAAACCAGCTTTCGTTTGGCGGTTTCCCGCTCGTGGAACGCAGAGGAAAAACCGCCCCAATAGTCTGGGAAGGCCACGCTACTGGTTACCACAGTGAAGCCCGGTCGGCCATCTTTAATGTGGTCAGTCCTAACGCATCCGGTGACGGCAGGAAGAGGGGGGCGGGACGCAGGAAAATTTTGACCAATAAGATCATGGGAAGGAGGCACGCAGTCAGTAACTAGGTGCGGACAGAAGAGCGCGCGGCCGGAGGCGGAAGGCGTTAGTTAAATTAGTCCGGTCTCAGGAAGCGGTTTCTGCGGCCCAGCGGAACTATTGCCTTCTAGCGGAGAGGTTTCTCCCCGGAGTTTGACACCTGCTTCCGCTACACAGAGGAAGTGTGGTTCGCCAGAGGACGGCTCCGGGACGAATTTGCTGCCCGCTGCATGCTCGGCCGGAATCATGTCGAGCCTGGCGGTGAGAGACCCAGCCATGGATCGTTCGCTGCGTTCAGTGTTCGTGGGGAACATTCCGTACGAGGCGACGGAGGAGCAGTTAAAGGACATTTTCTCGGAGGTTGGTTCAGTTGTCAGTTTCCGTCTGGTTTACGACAGAGAGACGGGGAAGCCCAAGGGTTATGGCTTCTGCGAGTACCAAGACCAGGAGACTGCGCTTAGTGCCATGCGGAACCTCAATGGGCGAGAATTTAGTGGGAGAGCGCTTCGAGTGGACAACGCTGCCAGCGAAAAGAACAAGGAGGAGTTAAAGAGCTTAGGCCCGGCGGCGCCCATCATTGACTCCCCCTATGGGGACCCGATTGATCCAGAAGATGCTCCAGAGTCGATTACTAGAGCAGTCGCCAGCCTGCCCCCAGAGCAGATGTTTGAGCTGATGAAGCAGATGAAGCTGTGCGTCCAAAACAGTCACCAGGAAGCCCGAAACATGCTGCTTCAGAACCCACAACTGGCCTATGCCCTGCTGCAGGCCCAAGTGGTGATGAGAATCATGGATCCAGAGATTGCCCTGAAAATTTTGCATCGTAAGATACACGTCACACCGCTGATCCCAGGCAAATCTCAGCCTGTCTCTGGACCTGGACCTGGTGGCCCCGGCCCCGGCTCTGGCCCTGGCCCTGCCACTGCCCCTGGGCTCTGCCCTGGACCCAATGTTATGCTGAACCAACAGAATCCTCCAGCCCCTCAGCCTCAGCATCTGCAAAGAAGACCTGTGAAGGACATTCCTCCTCTGATGCAGACTTCTATACAGGGGGGAATTCCAGCTCCGGGGCCAATACCAGCCGCAGTTCCTGGACCTGGACCTGGTTCCTTAACTCCAGGAGGAGCAATGCAGCCACAGGTGGGCATGCCAGTGGTTGGTCCGGTGCCCTTAGAGCGAGGACAAATGCAGATGTCAGATCCTAGACCTCCAATGCCTCGTGGACCCATGCCTTCTGGTGGCATACCTCCTCGAGGACTGCTGGGAGATGCTCCAAATGACCCACGCGGAGGGACTTTGCTCTCAGTTACTGGAGAAGTAGAACCTAGAGGTTATATGGGTCCGCCCCACCAGGGTCCCGCCATGCACCATGGTCATGACAGCCGTGGCCCTTCCTCGCATGATATGAGAGGGGGACCCTTAACAGCCGATCCCAGAATGCTAATTGGAGAGCCCAGAGGTCCCATGATTGATCAAAGAGGTCTGCCAATGGATGGTAGAGGAGGAAGAGAGTCTCGAGGGATGGAGGCTCGGCCCATGGAAACTGAGGTCTTGGAGCCACGAGGAATGGATAGAAGAATGGAGACCTGCGCAATGGAAACCAGAGGAATGGAAGCAAGAGGCATGGATGCAAGAGGACTAGAGATGAGGGGCCCTGGCCCTAGTTCCAGAGGTCCGATGACTGGTGGAATCCAGGGTCCTGGCCCCATGAATATGGGGGCAGGTGGCCCTCAGGGACCTAGACAGGTTCCAAACATTGCAGGAGTGGGAAATCCTGGAGGTGGTATGCAGGGGTCAGGTATGCAAGGAGCAGGGATGCAGGGGGCAGGTATGCAAGGAGCAGGGATGCAAGGGGCAGGGATGCAGGGGGCAGGGATGCAGGGAGCAGGGATGCAAGGGGCAGGGATGCAGGGAGCTGCCATGCAAGGAGGGATGCAGGGAGCTGCCATGCAAGGAGGGATACAAGGAGCGAGTAAGCAAAGTGGGGGCCAGCCCAGCAGTTTTAGCCCTGGGCAAAGTCAGGTAACTCCACAAGATCAAGAAAAAGCAGCTTTGATCATGCAGGTTCTTCAGCTGACTGCAGACCAGATTGCCATGCTGCCTCCAGAGCAAAGGCAGAGTATCTTGATTTTAAAGGAACAGATCCAGAAATCCACTGGTGCTTCTTGAAAGGCTTTTTATTAGGAAGTACTTAGTTATCCCTCCGCTGTTTATTGTGTAGCATGAAAGCCGTGCGAAGAGCTGTCTTCTGTGTTCCCATACTTTAGTGGTTTAAGGATTCCCTCTCCCTGGACCTTAGTCTTATTTCTAGGCTTTTCACATTCTGTTTTTCTTTTTGATTGAGGGGTGGGGGTGGAGGGAGTGGGCCTGTTCACTTTGTCACTGTTACTCTACTAGAAACCCTGGAAATGATGACATACCAAATAAGTTGATAGAGGAAGATACAGCAATAGTACCATGGCTTCACTCTGTTAGCTGTATTTTATAAATATTGAGTAAACTGTGAACTACATAAAAATTGAGAGTGGCTTGTTATAATATTGATGTACTAAGATAGTTTAAACATTTTTGGTTGTATATTGAACTGAATGTCAAATTGTGAAGATGACTTTTTGGTAAACCAAAATACTAATTCTGTTTTGAAGGCAATAGAGTACTGTATTCAGGTTAACACTTTCGTTATTTTTTGAAACATTAGAGCTAATTTTCACAGTCTGTGGTGAAAATTTTTAGCAATGGAGTTGTTTTTTTAAAGCTCTTAGGGGAAAGCTCAAGATGCTGCAGACCAGATTGACTCTGACTCTTCTGAAACGGTTAGTATCCTTGCCTGGTCCCAACTGTGGTGGTTTTGCAGGACAGTCGAAGTGTGAACTAAGTTACATTTAAGTCTCCTGATGAAACTCAAGTAATTGCTTAATGCATATCTCCCTCCCCCCCCAAAAAATTCTTAAGCCCCAAGTCTGGTTGAGAGTAATTTTCAGACATCTAAAAGAATCAGCCAGAGATGGAGTTGGGCTTTCTTAAGGTTTCATTCGTAACTCTCCCAAGTTCTCAATAAACCACTCTCCAACTCTCCATATGGATGCAATCCATTTGGTTGACAGAAAGTTAGAAATCTTAATCTTTACATTTTGACAAGTGTTGCAGTTTAGTTACTTTCATAAACTACTTTCCTATATCTTACTAGAACTGGGGCCCAAGTAGACTGACAGCTCTGCTCGGTTAACTTAATATTTTATGTCTTACATAAAAGCCATTTGGTCATAATATACATTCCTATAAGATATATTTTAAAATAAGGAATGTGGAGTTTAATATGTTTCCTTTAGAGCTATTATGCTTTAGCTTTGAGTGTATGGCACCTAGATATTGTGTCATATCCAGTTAATGAAACAAGCACAAGCTCCCATATGACCAAGAGTAGGTTGAAAAACACCCAGCTACTGAGCAGAGTAGCCTTAGGGAGAGCTGACACAAGGGGTTTTCCCCTTGCAAAGTTTTTGAATTTAAAGTGTACAAAGTTTTCGTCCCTAGGCTATTTTCCTAGGATTTACTTGTTCTGTGCTAGTGTTAAGCTTCCTCTGCTTCCCCTGTGCTGGAGTGGATTAGTGTTCCTACTTTTGTGGTAGTTCTGGCTAATTCCAATTGCTTGTTTCTTTTGAAATTGTAGTTGCTAGCCCCAAACTTCTCACTGACTCATCTTAGCAGTGTTTGTTGTAAGAAAGTCTCTGCACTGTTTAATGAAGCTTAAATAAAAAGGTTGTATGATTAAGGTATTTTGCATGTTTAATTTCATTTAATACATTGGGAAATGCTTGTTTTTAAGAGATACATATAGTGAAAAAAGTAAAATAAGGAAATTGGTGGAAATCCCTTTAAGTATTATCTATGTGGTTCAAAGCTGGAATACTGTGAAGACTGCCACTCACTCCAGAGCCATTGGCAGCAGTGGCATGTGGGTAACACCTCCCACATCAGACAGAATTGATGTTTCTCTTGGAATACTGTATTCCAGGATCACCTTTCAGGCTTTTCAAGCAGTGGCACATTTGTTTTACTCTACCCATAGCCCCCAACTTGTACTTATGGACAGCAAATAGGGAACATGAGAAGTGCCTTACTCCCTCTAGTATATACTATAGTAAATGAAACAGATGAAAAGGATGGGTAAAACATCCAGTTTTAGTTGAAGAAAATTCTTTTCATTATACCCAAGGCACTGAGATTCATAAAAAACGAATTTAAAAAAAAAAGTGAATTCAAAATGAAAAGCAATCACCTTCACAGTGATAAGACAAAATAGTTTCTCATTTCTAATTAGCAACTTACAGATTCTGGTATTGATAAAATAAAGGGCCTTGATTCCTTTATAGGAGAGTAATTCAAACGTTCTAGTACACAAATGTGTTCTGAAGGTGTTGGGATGTAATACTGATTACCAAGGTTGATTTCGGTCTCTCGTTCTCAGGTAGTACATGCTTTATATAATGATTGAATTTCACTGGTGCCTTCCCAATAACCTCTCCCCCTACTACTGATGATTGATAAGCACATGGATTTTCTAGGGTTTCTAATTTTGGAATAAGGTATACACTGATGTGGATCTGTCAAAGGCAGGCTAATCTAAGTGAAATTGTATATGACTGGAATTTAGGTGGTTGAAAGCATTTTTTAAAAATGTGTATCACAGCTTGCAAAGCTTGCTTTTCTGTACTGTGACAGGACATCAAGGAAGCCTACAGACCCTCATTTCCTGTGGTGTGTCAGGTCTTAGGACAGTTACATGCAGACACCTACTGCAGCTGGACAACTGAATTAACAGTCCCATCTGAGTCTCCTCACTAAGAATGTCTTTCCTCATCTAGTCTCTAAACAGACTTCTCCGGTTGATGTATGTTTCTCTATACAACCAATGAGATTTATATTGAGGGAATTAGTAGTGTTATTAATATAAATTATTAATATTAATAAAGCTATATGTCCATAACAAGTACTATTTGGGTATATAGTATTGATGTATAGTATGCTTGTATATTAATTTTACATCTAATAATAAGACCTTTTAATGTTTTTATGTGTGTTTATGCACTCAAAAGTTCTCTTGTCTGAAATTCTTTTTGAGACAAGGTCACACCATCAAAAAGTAAAAAGAAGCACACCAGGTACTTAGTAAATACTATGGTAAGAGTACTCAGTTACCAGCTACATAAGAAAATATTTCTTTATAACTGCCTTGATTTAAGGCCTAAAGGTAGGTAAATACCTTGAATAAAATACACCTAATCATTGACTCTAAATAATTTTGTATGATTTGATATATATATTTATAGACATTTAGAATGAACAAATTTTCAGAAAAGTTGATTTTTTTTTTTAACCTGCAAAGTTTATAATTTTTTGTCTGCCTTGGAAGTAGAATGGATAATCTTATGGGTACAGAGAAATGAAAACAGTTTCCGCCAAACCCTTGTGTCTCTCTTAATTAGCTGTTTTAAATCAGAATTCTATAATTAGATGAAAATTATTCTACAACAATTCTGCCTTCAGTTAACATGAAGCAACTTGTACCAAATTCGAAATCTGCTTACATGTTTCTTGTGGACTTTAGTGAAAAGGTTCCAAATTAATCTTCCTCAGAAAAAAAATAATTTGTAATAACTCAGTTTTCAATTCTCTTTGTCTTAAGCATTAGCTGTAATAGCATTTGAAATATGTATCAATTTAAAAAATAGCACAGTTGAGTTAATGTAATGGGACTTTATCGGCTTTGCATAGCACATTAACATTCATAAAATAATGCTTTTTATGCTATCAATCACACTCTCACAGATCACTTTAGTAGCATACAGAAGGACTAAAAGTATGGGCAGAAGGAAACAGAATAAATTGCCTAGTAGAATGCTCTTTAAGCCTCTACCTAAAATGACTTCAATTTTAGGCAGTGGTGAGAGGGAAACTTCACTGCCTCATCTCTCTTCAGCAACAAAGAAAACGTTCTTTTGGGACTTTTAGAATGGTTTTTAGGTTTACTACCAAAATTTTGTCTTTAAATATCTCAAGCAAGAACTGTTGATTTGGTGGCCTGCCAGCCAACTAACTCTGCCTGCACACAGGCTTTGCTTGACTAGCTCAATTCTCTCAAAACTTTTATTTTAAATGTGTGTGCTTTCCAGTTTTGCCAAAGATTCCACCTGTTGATTCCTGCAGTTAGAAGACTACCAGTCAATCCCTGTAATACTTTTGACTCAAAACTGCTTTGTGTTAAACACATGGCTGTCAGAGTCCATTGCAACCAGTGTATGATTTGACCAGTGTGAAGAAAGAAAACGTGTTTGGCAAGTGGCTTCTTAAGGGTACTCATGTAAAGACCAACAAGTAGTTCAGAGAAAGCCAAAACATCGAAAGACCTTGAACTTTTACTATGTAGTTTTCTACGTTGGCCAAAGATATTCCAATAATGCCTGGCCCTGGCCAATTAATACATATTATAATTTTCACATTTAATACATATTTACCCCAAATACCTATAACCTCTTAAAAAATTATTTGTGTGTGTGTGTTTCCTGCACATAACTGAAATTCTAGACAAAATATATTTAAATGGTCTAACCCTTCTCCAGTTCCTTGGTATTCTTCATTTCATATCTTTCTTTGCTTTTTCTTTCCTTTTTGTGTGTGTGTGTGTGTGTGTGTGTGTGTGTGTGTACATGTGGAAGTCAGAGAACAGCTTGTGGGAGTTGTTTCTCTTCTACCATGTGGATCCCAGGGATTGAACTCTGACTGTCAGTCTTGGTGGCAAGTGCCTTTACTCACTGAGCCACCTTGTTGCCCTTTCTCTCTTGTTGATTTGTTAAGAGTAGTACCTTCTCAGAACACCACTTAAATATTTAACAGAACTGAACTGTATTCTTTCAACCTTTTACAGAACATACTGATTTATGCACACATGAAATTTGATGACTGCCATTGATGAGCTACTCATTCCTGTGTTAATAGTTATGTCAACTGTGTTTGGCCTCAAACTTCTATTAATTTATTACTATAATATACAGATGTGAATTCAGGCTGTGGTGGTGCATGCTTTAATCCCAGCACTCAAGAGGCAGAGGCAGGACTATCTCTTGAGTTCAAGGCCAGCCTGGGTCTACTGAGCAAGTTCCAGGACAGTGGGAACTACACAGAGAAATACTATCTAGAGGATATATCAGTTTTCTCAGGAATTTTTCAGATAATGAAAGAGAAAACTTCCTCAGGAAATCTTAGGCTTGGTGCTTCTAATCATCAGCCCTTCATCTCCACAGAGATCACTCAGT